AATACTCACCGATACCGTGGAATTTTCACTTTCAGTCGTAAACGTAAATACGGTATCTCGGACATCGGCTAAAAAAACGAAATCCAATTATCTTTAATTATTCCGAATGTGATAAAAAAAGAGCAAAACGCGATTAGTACCTGACAGGTCAAACCGTCTATAAAATACAGGGGGACCTTGAGTGCCTTCTCCTTGTGCAAGCACCATTGTATTCGCGAGATAGTCAATAAATATATAGCCGGCTGTTGAAACATAAGTACGCGTATAAGGTTGAGTGATTAATTTAAACGCGACGAATACGCGCAAACAACATTTAAATTCAAGAACCATTGTGACGTGTGGTGGCATATTCTGATTCTGGATTTCCAAGACCTACAATCACGAAATCAACTGGTCTCGACATTTTTAACAATAGATATCTTCCCATGATAGCCAATCAGATAGTCATTTGTCAGATAGTGACTACCGGAAATTTCCGGTTGAATCACATGCACATTTTTTTTGCGTGCATTATTAATGTGTTTTTTTTTTTAATCTAGTTTTTGATGTAATATTAAAAATTATAAACTTGCATTACGTAGTCCCCAACATAGACAAATCTTATTAATAAATCTTAAAGAAAAAAAAAAGTAAAATGAATGAATCTTCCAACAAATCATCACACAATTTGATATCGGTCATGATATAAGAATTAAAACCATGTTTTAAATGAATGCAATATCAAGACCATGCTGATTACTATTTAGTCGGCTAATTCTTCATGAAGTAAAACGTAATCACGTGTACTGAACCCAAAATTGATTTCGTCATATGCACGTAATTCCACGTATCGCGAGGTGGGAATGGGTTTCTTATTGACAAAAGTCGAGTTGGTCGATTCAAGGTCGATTATATAAGGTTTAACATCGGTTTTTTGTCCACCTGTTTCAGTATCAGTAACATTCACTTGTCGAAATTGCAAGACGGCATGTTGACTTGAACATGAAGGATGATCGATCGGAATGTCCGCAACCTAATTTAA